TTATACTGCTCACTTAGTTTAACAAAAATTTAGATTTTCTCTTGAAGAGATGCTCTAACTAGACCCAAAAATCTTCGAGCCACAAAAGTTTTGGCCCATATTATGCACTTGAGCCTATACATTTTGGTTGTCTTGCAATCCGTAGAGCAGGTCAGAAATGAGGTTTGTCCTAAACCTCAACAATTCATTCGTGAAAAAACTTGTGCGGGGGAGCATTTCCGCTAATATCTGTGTTCTAAAAAAAAAGTTGAGTACTTCTTTTACTCTTTAACTCCTTGAAAATAATTCATAGACCTACCACTAGTCATCGTGATCAACTTAAACGAAATCAAAATAGAGCTCAGCATCCAAGACTGGTGTGAACATGGACGTCTTTGCTTTCACCTCGTTGAAGATGTCGTAGAGGATCCCTTTCCGTCATACAGCACACTGAAAACTGTCCCTAGGCCGCCCCCGGTATAAAGCTCCCCCACTCCCAGCAAACCAGATAATGTAACTTTGAAAATGTGAGAAAATTTGATTAAAAATATAAAAAAGATTAACAATAACAGATTCTAAATCATCCAAAGTCAAATTCACATATGGCGTGCTTCATGACAGTGTAATATAAAATTGTAAGCACGTTCTTAGTTTTGAATTACCGATCAACTCGAATAATTATATTGTCAAATGAAGAATTAAAAATCGGTAAAAAGACTCCAATAATTATATTGCCAAATGAAGAATTAAGATTCAGTAAAAAAAGACCATTGACTTGACTCAATTTATTTTTTTCGTTGGAAAGATAATATAAAATGGATTAGGCTAATCGAACTATACTAGATATATGGTATGGTCTTCGAATAACAATAGTGGTTTTACTCTCTATACCAGCAAAGACATTTGAAAAAGAACCGAGACATCTGGATTAGCCATCAACAAGCATGCCACTTTCTTTATGCTCAGAGCAATTACAAAGAGCTAATTCCCGATAGAACAATAATCCAAACCGATCCCCAATTTCCGAATTTTATTAAATTATTAAAAACACTAGTAAAAGAATAGAAGTGGGAGGAAAAATTAAAAAGCAATAAAAAGAGACATTGACTTGACTCTATTTATTTTTTCGGTTGGATGGATGATAATGAAAAAAATGAGACATTCTTAAATTTGGAACACAAAATAAAGAAATTCAGAAAACAAGTCGTACAAAGTTGATTTTCTATCACGTTGTTGTGAACAAGCAAGACAGGTAAACGAAAAAAGTTCGATTGACTGTGGAGGGAGACTTGGAATTAACCAAGAAACTGCATCACCATATTTAGGAAGCTTTCATATGGTGACAGAGATAACCCACCAACCGCAATGCAGGTTTTTGGCCGACCAGAATTGTACTTTTGTTATAAAATATTGTTTCTTATCCTTTTAAATTGTGAAGGCAAGTTTCGGAAGGAGACAACAGCATAAAGACAAACCAAAGTTTTGAACCAATGAGCAATTTGGATGAACTAATAAATTTACTTCCATTGGCAAACCATTTCTTTTCTGCACTCGCAAGTTCGTTTCCAAGACTATTTATTTTCTCTAATGCATTAGCTAGCACCCAAAAAAAGTGAGCCCATAAACTCTAAATTCTTACCAACTTTTTGTAGGTTTGTATTCCATTTCTCTTTCGAAAATACTGCATTCCTCGTTCTCGTAATTATTTTTTGAGAGTTTTAACGAAAACTTCACTGTACTATTCACTTTAACGAAAAATCACATTTTTACACTAAAAAGTCAATCTTGGTACTATTTACTTTACCCTTTATTTTGTCATTATCGTTAAAACTTAAAGTTTTCAAGCCATTTTCGTTAGTTTTCCTTTATTTTTTCCTACTAATTAATATATAATATGGATCAATCTAATTTTTTTTTTTTCTTCTTTCCCCCTATTTTTTTTCTTCCCAAATTTCCCTAAACTTTGTTTTGTTGTTGGTGTTCACTGTCTCTCCCACTTCTTACTCTCTCCTAGTTCTATTTCTTGCTTTCCTTCAAAAATAAAAAATAAAAAATAAAAATATGCACCCTCTCCAATTTTATCATGGAAGGCAACCAAGAACCTGTAAGTTTCTTTTCGTTCTTTATATTTGATCATGTGAACTAGACATAAATAACCCACATATATATAGGCGTATTAGGGTTATTTTTTTTTCTTTTAATTGGCGGTTTTTGGGTGAGGGTGTTTGGTTTCTTTTATATTTTTGTTCGTTAAAAAAAATGCTCAGATGCTGGAAACATAGAGCTCAGGAATTGAAAATGGATAAAATGAAGAACGATGTGAGATCTTTATTTTAAAAAAAAATGCGCAGATGCTCTTGGTTTTGAATTATAAACCAACTCCAATAATCCTATTAACAAATGAAGAAATAAAAATCAATAAAAAGGGACCATTGACTTGACTCTATTTTGTTTTTTTTGGCTGGAAGGATGATAATGGATCGTGCGAGTCGAACTACACTATATATAAGGTTTGGTTGTTGGATTATAATGGTAGCTTTACTCTCTAAACCAGCACAAGGCGGTAAAATTGAACCAAGACATTGGGATTAGCCATTAACAACAAAGTAGGTTACTTCTTTCCTGCTCAAAGCGACTAGAAAGAGCTAATTCTCCGATAGAACAACATCGTCCAGTCCCCTATCTCTGAATTTTATTAAATAATAAAAACGATAATAAAAGAATATAGACAGGGGAACACGACCTAAACCCCCGAAAAGAAAAACAAACAATGAAAATGAAAAACAGGACAAAACTCAAGGTCATGAGTATAAGCGACAACTACAAAATCTAAAATGGTGGTCCAACATTTATAGCCTTATAGGCACTAGCAGCCGCACTGAAAGAAGCTAAGGCATTAGCAACTTCCGCGCGCTATGAACTTGTGTTTCTATTATCATTATTGACTGTGGAGGAAGACTTGGAAATTAACCAGGAAATTGCATCACCATGTCTGGGAATCTTTCATATGGTAATAGAGAAAATTTTGTTTCTTATCCTACTAAATTGAGAAAGCAAGTTTTGAAAGAAAACGAAAGCATAGAGAAAGACAAACGAAAGTTTTGAACCAATGAGCAATGATTGATTAAATAACCATTATTTTTACGTTGTAGTTAACTCACTTGCGGTCGAGCACTTAGATAATACTACATAGTAAATTTACTTCCATTGGCAAACCATTTCTTTTCTACACTTGCAAGTTGGTTTCCAAGACTATTTATTTTCTCTAATGCATTAGCTAGCACCCAAAAAAGTGAGCCCATAAACTCTAAATTCTTACCAACTTTTTGTAGGATTGTATTCCATTTCTCTTTCGATTAGACTTACATTCCTCACATGGATAATGCACATATTTCACTATTTTGTCCATTTTTTTGTTTGAACAAGCCTCGGGTGTTCTTTGGGAGAAATTTTTTGGGAAGCTTCGCTTATCATTGGACTTCACTGAGTGGCACTACAATACACTTAAAACTCGTCACGTAACAAGTCTTGAATATTATCTTTTATCATTCTTTTATATTTAAAATTCTCATAATTATTTTTTCCTACTAATTAATATATAATATTGATCAATCTAATGTTTTTTTTTTCTTTCCCCCTATTTTTTTTCTTCCCAAATTTCCCTCCATTTTGTTTTGCTGTTGGTGTTCACTGTCTCTCCCACTTCTTACTCTCTCCAAGTTCTATTTCTTGCTTTCCTTAAAAAAAAAATATATATAAAAAATAAAAAAATATGCACCCTCTCCAATTTTATCATGGAAAGCAACCAAGAACCTGTAAGTTTCTTTTCGTTCTTTATATTTGATCATGTGAACTTGACATGAATAACCCACATGTATATAGGCTTATTAGGGTTTTTTTTTTTTTTTTAATTGGGGGTTTTTGGGTGAGGGTGAGGGTGTTTGGTTTCTTTTATATTTTTTTTCTTTAAAAAAAATATGTGCAGGTGCTAGAAACATAGAGCTCATGGATTGAAAATGGATAAAACGAAGAACGATGTGAGATCTTTATTTTTAAAAAAATGCGCAGATGCTCTTGGTTTTGAATTATAAACCAACTCCAATAATCCTATTGCCAAATGAAGAAATAAAAATCAATAAAAAGGGACCATTGACTTAAATCTATTTTGTTTTTTGTTTTTTGCTGGAAGGATGATAATGGATCATGCGAGTTGAACTACACTATATATAAGATTTGGTCGTCGAATTATAATAGTAGCTTTACTATCTAAACCAACACAAGGCGATAAAAATGAACCAAGACATCAGGGAGTAGCCATCAACAACAAAGTAGGCTACTTCCTTCCTACTCAAAATAATTAAAAAGAGCTAATTCTCCAATAGAACAACATCCTCCAGTCCCTTATCTCCGAATTTTATTAAATAATAAAAACGATAATAAAAGAATATAGGCGGGGGAACACGACCTAAACCCCCGAAGAAAAAAACAAACAATGAAAATGAAAACAAGATGAAACTCAAGGTCATGAGTATAAGCGACAACTACAGAATCTAGAACGGTGGTCCAACATTTATAGCCGTATAGGCACTAGCAGCCGCACTGAAAGAAGCTAAGGCATTAGCAACTTCCGCGCGCTATGAACTTGTGTTTCTATTATCATTATTGACCGTGGAGGAAGACTTGAAAATTAACCAGGAAACTGCATCACCATGTCTAGGAATCTTTCATATGGTGATAGAGAAAATTTTGTTTCTTATCCTACTAAATTGAGAAAGCAAGTTTCGAAAGAAAACGAAAGCATAGAGAAAGACAGACGAAAGTTTTGAACCAATGAGCAATGATTGATTAAATATTTAACCATTATTTCTACGTTGTAGTTAACTCACTTGCGGTCGAGCACTTAGATAATACTAGATAGTAATGCCCGCACGTTGCTGTGGGAATAGAAATCTGCTGCAATATATGAATTTGAGCTAATAATACATGTTGGGATAACATTGATTAATCTAAATAAAAATATATCAGGATAGGAAAGATGTTTATTTGCTGCAAAAAAATTCTTATTTTGTTATTTTACAAAGGTAATTCGCTCCAACTTCCTTGGTATCATTGCTCATCTCCGCGACAACTCCTTGACATTCCAAAGAACTAAAAACGAATGCAAAATTACCTAATCAAAATTAGAAGCAAACCGAATGAACAATGAAAACATTTACGAACATGCCGTAAAAGTATTAAATGCGAAAGGGGAACAAACCTTTTGCACGGTGGTCTTGAAGCAAGTAGCATAACAAAATCATCAATGTGAATCGTGATCCTTCAAATCCTCCAAGAAAGTGGCTTGCTCGTTCTTCTTTTGGCATGAAGCGTGCACGGAAAAATGCATGCATAAAATAGGCAACAACATAGTGCAGGTTAATTATTTGGGTTGAAAATAAAAAACAAAGTAGCTGAAAAACTCAAAAACATCGTAAACTGGACATCTTTTAAACGCAAAATTGTAATATGTTGTTCATGCATGTGTATAACTCTGACATATCCAATAAAACACAACAAAACAAAGAATGCAATTTCACACAACACAACAGAACACATTAATCAAACAAACCCCAATACATAACGAAACAACAATCTAACATCCAAAATTCAAATAATTTGTAAAACATGAAAAATTACAGGAATAAATGAAGGAGAATGAGAAGCAACAAAACTAAACGGTCTGGGGGAAGCTGAGACAAAGGTAGGGCAATGGAAGTGTCTCTGAAAGTCTATAAATAAAATTTATCTTCTGGGTGGGGATTCGGTTTCAGTTTAGCTAAAGTCTCTGATGCAGTTTCCATGTTCCTTCCTGGGATCTCTAAACTCTTCCTCTTCCTCCAATGACCCAAAATTCCAAAATTTCCAACAGAAAAAAGGGTAAATTTATTACAGATTTTGAGGTAATTGCTAAGATATTTAAAATCCAAGCATGATAACATTACAAAGATAAATTTATCAATTAACTAATTAGGCTTTGAATAAATGAAGCTAATTCCCTTATAGTAACAAATTGTTGGTTAGAATACTACAATTTGATTAAATATATAATAAAAGAAAAATAGGAAAATGATGCTTACCAATATGGACATATGGATTGCTTCGAAAGAACGTAAATGCAAGGTTGTCATCCCAATGGTTTTGTCTGCAATAAGAAGTGTAATTAACTTAAAAAGAAGCATCATTGCTACTTGCTAGTCTTCCTACACGATCAAATCACATTGACCATAAACTATTACATGCAACTCAAAAGATAAAATGAAGATAAGAGAAATTCACTGAAAAACTTGAAAACACTTGCCGGAAAAACCCACTGATAAGCATTAGATATCTTTTAATAATTGCACAGTTAAAGCGTGATAGCTACGATATTCCTCTACCCATCAGAACCTAGAACACATAACTAATGAGTGTTAAAGAAACTTACCACGAAATTGTCAAAAGAGAATATAAGACCATACGCTTCATCCAGTTTCATGGCATATCATATCAGTTTATGAAAATCTCCTTGCAGTCTGTTGTTCAAAAAATCCAAAGTAAAAATCAACAACAGTAACTCATAACAACATAAAGTATAACCATTAAATTAAATTCAACATAACACACAAACAATTTCACTACTATACATAAAACTCCATAAATTCCTTACAACATAAACCTTGAGAGGTCCAATAGGTCTAGAAGTCTCAAAACCTTCTCCATATTCAGCTCCAGCCGCCTGAAAACACCGAAAAAGAGGAAAAAAACATAAATTCATCAAAATTCCCTACCCAAAACTAAGCTAAAAATGGAAAATATTCAAACCTCATAATCTCTGGTTTCCTAAACGCCACATGGATCTACATTAGAAAACATTGGAGTAGCAGTATAAAAGTGAAAGATTTAAGACATTTCCGCACAATTCAAGTGGTAGACATGTCAAAATTAAATTTTATTTGATAATTATCAAGGAATATGATCTATAAATGACAAAACCAAATTATGGTTGTAGCAATGATTTCACCTTTGTTTATTTTTCTTTTACAATAGGTCCTACATGTGTCTTAATCTCTTATAAACGGTTATTTGATTGAGTCTAAAAGCTTCAGTCAAACATTTCAACAATAAAAAATCTTTGATCCATTCAAATTATGTATTAAATTTTATTATCAAATATAGATGCACTGGGCAATTGAGACTCACGCAAAACAGAGGAAATACCTGCATACTCTTTCACTCTTTCCCTAGGTTCTGTCTACTGACAGGGAATTGTAAACAACAACATTATCAACTATGTTTACACTCGGTACGCAGAAAAATTTAAAAGAAAGAGGCCCAACATTTTAGCATGACACCAGTTCTCAAACTGCACATCTACTAAATTACCACAGTACTGTATCGATGACTGAAATGATCTTTGGAGCATCTGGGTATCCAGGTTTTCAATTAAAAAACTTATCCAATTGAATTCAATTTAAAAAATGATCTCTCGGGCATCTAGGTACACAGGCATGCATTCAAGTGCACAAACACACTCAAATGAGTTATGAATTAACAGAAAACATACCAAAGGCAGTGGGAAGCTGTACGTCGATGTCAGACATGAAACTTAGCTGATTCAACTAAGCGGGCCTGCTAACCAGAATGCTCAGACCTGTATCATATTTAATAAATACCCATAAATCATCATGACCTCAATCAAATATAATCAAGATAAGAAAAACATAACAGGCACAAATCACATAATAGAAAAGAAGTTTCACAACTCATCCACAATCATCAACAGCTAAATTAAACCCAAAAATTAATCACGATTATCCATTTGTATATCAAGTAGACGTGTAAATGGGTTGGGTTTATTGGGTTTGGATCGGGATTCATCTGATCAGTTAATTTAACGGGTTATCCAATCCTAACCCGTTAAGCAAACAGATCATCCCTTTCACCCGTTAACAATTTTTTTTTTTTTTTTTTTTTTTTCCGTTTCACCCGTCGTCTGCGCCTTCATCATCGACCTCTTCTGGGCCGCAGCTCTGGCTGCTTTTTTGTATTTCCCTAAGATCCATGAACAAACCACCCAGAGTTCAAAGGACCTCACCGACACCATTTTGGAATTCCCCGGACGGAAATCTCCTCTGAAGGCTATACACATGATCGAGCCGGTGCTCGACCGAGACAACCCTGCTTATTGGGACTTCCTCTCCTTTTTCTCATATCTTCCCAAATCCAAAGAAATCATCGTCAACACGTTCGAAGAGCTCGAGCCACCTGCCATCCTCCAGGTCATTGCTGAAGGCCTGTGTAAATTTCACGCCTTGGGAGACGTCGGCGAGGGGTGTGAATTTCACAGCGTTGGAAGATCCGCCGCCTTTGCCGAAGCTGAGGTATCCAGTGCCGCTGGATTTGGAGGAGAGGCAGTAGGAGAAGAACCGGTTGTATTTCAAGGCAGATTACTCCTGAGGGAGGGCCGAGACCGAGCAAACCGGCGGCGCCCGCTAAGAGTCCCTGATTGTTTTGGCCTATTTAACCATTATTTCTACGTTGCAGTAACTCACTAGCGGTCGAGCACACTACTGATCATAATTTGACAATACGGTACATCATAATTTAGATAATCATCTTGACCAAAGTAAGCAACCAAAAAAAAAAACAACTTATATAACCAAATGCATAAATAACATATAAGATGCAGTTAAAACACATTTTGTTTCATATATCATTATTTATATTGTGTAAAACAAGAACATGATACACCAAAAAAAAAAAAAAAAAACAACACAAAATATCTCAAGACTCAAGAGAGTTTGAAATAAAGAGTATTACAAGCTCATATGATGAAACATAGAAATTGGACAGAAGCAAGAACGAAATCACGAAAGACGGTTCTCATAACTGAGGATTTTTGAGCCAATTCAGATTGGTTTTTTCTTTTGCCACCTTGATTTTGTGTCTGTCTAAGAAGGATTCCCACAAATGTTTATTGTCTTCATCACAAATAACTTCCTCTAACTGCTCGGTTAGATCCCACGCTGATAGAGGCAACTCTTTCAATCCTGAGCATTGTCCCATGTTGATCCTTCTTAAACCGCTCATATTACCAATGTCTTCAGGCAACTTCCTAATGCCGAAACAATTATACATGTCAAGACTGCACAACTTAGTGAGGTTCTCAATCGAGACCGGAAGCCTTATCAAGTCTGTACAGGACCTTAGTCTCAGTACATCCAAATTCTCCAGCTTTCCGATCTCTTCAGGCAAGGCAGATAGCTTATGGCAGTTGGTGATACTAAGCACCTTCACATGAGCAAGATCACAGAGCTCGGCAGGCAGTTCCACCAAATCATGGCAATAGTCGATATTCATTTCCTCTAGAACTGGCCAGGCATCTGAAATTTTGATGGAACAATTGTGGAAAGCTTGACCCATGTTACACATGAATAAAGATATCTTCTTTAGACTCTTCAATGGTACGAAGTTCTTGGTTATGGAATGAATTGAAATGCGCTCTAATCTGATTCTCTTCAGATTTGATAATGATTCCAGAAGATCAAAATTATTCAATTCAGTAGGCAATGAACCATAGTTTGTGACTATTAGAACCTTCAGTTTGTCAATTTTCCGCACAAATTCAGGTAAGGCATTGTTCACCGTCTTAAAATTCAAAACTAGAACCTCAACTTGTGGTAGATCAACACTCTGCCATTGTGTTGGGAACGTTCCATCTGCAAACAATATGCTACGAGATAAGAGAAGGAGATTAATTGAAACTTAAGCGCAAATTTTAGCGTGTCTCTGTGTTCATGTGCATATATGCATGTGCTTGTGTATGCGTTCATGTGTGTGTGAGCACGCACGAATGTGAATATACATGGATAAGTATGCTGGTCATAGGTAGACGTGCATATGTGCACATATATGCATTTTATAAAGAGAGAGATGGGACAACCAGAGGAGATAGATAATAGGCGAGCATTGATGGGTTGAGGCTTCTCCTTCGTCAACCACTTGGGTTGATTGTGTCCACTTACGACAATCAGTCTTTTTCTATCTTCTATTGGATCTAGTTTTGCATTGTAGATAGCCAGCTCTCTAAGCATATCATGCTGGCTAACAAAGTGTTCGATGTAGTAGTCATCCAGAATCTCTATATTCTCCTTCCTGGTAACAAGCCAAACTCAGTCGGTTGCAGACTTGCAGTTGCATATTATGGTCAGAGTGACACGTGAATGTGGAAATATGGAATGAGAATATTATACAGGAGAAACTTAATAGCTTGCGTACCTAGTGATCACTAGATTTGCCAGACCTCTGCTGGCGAGTTCGTGGAGGTTCTTCACGGACAGAAAGTCCTCATCTAGCTTATATAACTCTGCCCACATATCAATGAAAGCAGCAGCAGAGATTCTTTGATCTTTAGGAAATGAAGCAAGGTCCGTGAAACATTCCTTGATGATAACTTCTAAGGTATCTATGCTACTTTGAAGGCAAAGAAACAACTCAGTCTCAGAATCAAGAATAGAACCTCTAGACCAGTCTGCTAGTCTTGAACGCCAGAATTCTGTAGCTTGTCCGCGAAGTGATTTCCCAGTCACTGTAATGGCAAAGGGAACTCTCTTACAGTGCTTTAGTATCTGCAGGTTAATTGTACCAAATGATGTCAATTACTATCCAGGTTGCAGACAGAAAGTTCAAGTTTCTTTTAACATCTCCATGGTTTCATGAAAATGGTTATTGACTACCTACTTATCTTCATTCTTATTTTAGTTTTAGTTCTTAATTAAAATCATATGCGATTAGTGAAAGATCTTTTGCAGGTTCATATGGTAAGATGGGTGTTCGCTTCTGTATGTGTGTACATATCGTAAAAGATCAAAACAATTTATTTTCCCCACTTTGTTGCCCCTATAATTTGTGAGGCCTTGGTATGTATATATGTTGTGAATTGCATAGTGAGAAATAAACCTTTCTCAGAAGATCTTCTGGAACAGACAAGCGATCTCCCAGGGATGCTGAATGACGCAAAAGAGTCATTGAATCTTCATCATTCAAAGCTTTGAGATTATACGGAGTGCCAAATCCTGGAAATTCAGATCTCGATGTCACCAAGATCTTGTAATTTCGTGATTTCAATTCATCAAACTTCTGAAGAAGAGATTTGGATTCGAACCAAACATCATCCAGGACCAACAGTATAGGATCTTGTCCTGCTTCCTGAGACTATGCGTTGATATAGCTCTTGTAGAACATCTAAGTTGGGCTCTTTAGAAACGGTGACAAAGAAGATATTTTTCTTGAATTTATCTATCAAAATACAATACAAGAAATATGTTAGATAAATGTGAAAACAAGGAACAATATACCATGGTAAAATTGAAGAGTATGAAACAAGTGAAGCAATTTTCTTAATGGAACCTGATCAATCATGAAGCTAGTGTAGTAAATGCTTCGTTACCCTGTCAAGTAAAATTTCCTACCCATGGGATTTTCCAATTATATTCCTCTCATGAACCGTATAACAGATATCCAATAAGACATGGGGACGATTCTTTACCATATAATGCATGAGTGAACTATGATATCCGAGATATACCACATATTAGTCATGGAAAAAAGAAAGCTTGAATTTCGAAACCAGATATCCAATAAGACATGATATTCAAGCATTTGAAATATTACATTTGTGGATTCACTTTGATGTTATATATATCCGAAGCTGGGTTTGATTTGGGCATAAATAGGTGCTGTGAACTCATACAAAGGGCTTCAACTCAACAAGCGACATCTATAACATACTACTAGTAGTAATCGAGAGAAAAAGATGTTAAATTACAGATTAATTCTACTATAACACTTCTCAATTAATCAGCAATTAGAAAGTAGTATCATACCTCTGACTTTCTCATCTTGACAGAATTTCGAGGCCAATGTGGTTTTCCCGCATCCTCCCGTAGCAGTCAGCACTAACATTGAGAAATCGCCCTCAAGAAGCTTCTTCCTTATATGCCTCAAAGGCTCATCCAATCCAACTGTAACACGTGGAGGTTCTGGAACTGAAACCAAATCATGAAATCCTTCTTGATTTTGTATCACAACATTCTCTTTGCTTCCAACCGAACCAATTTGGTGGACAGCAGCCAAGATCTCCTCCGACACAGCCAAGGTCTTGATCGAAACACCAGATGTCTCCCTTGAAACAGCCAAGTTCTCCGTCGCAACACCAAATGTCTCCCCTGAAACAGCCAAGTTCTCCGTCGCAACACCAAATGTCTCCCTTGAAACAGCCAAGTTCCCCCTCGCAACACCAAATGTCTCCCTTGAAACAGTCAAGTTCTCCGTCGCAACACCAAACGTCTCCCCTGAAACAGCCAAGCTCTCCGTCGCAACACCAAATGTCTCCCTTGAAACAGCCAAGTTCTCCGTCGCAACACCAAATGTCTCCCTTGAAACAGCCAATTTCTCCCTCACAACACCAGCTATCTCCCTTAAAAGAGCCAAGTTCTCCCTCGAAACAGCCAAGGTCTCCACCCCATTCCTTATTCCCTCCACAATCAGTACCGTCAACAACCTGTTTAGACACTTGTCCAAACTGAGAAGTTGCTTGGTGTATTTGTACTTTTTGAAGCCTTTCCACCGGCTAGGCTTGGAGCACTTGAGAACTAACACTTTCCCATCCTCCATTAGTTTCTCAATTTTTTCAACTTGCATGTTTGATTGAGCCAACACCGCGTTGTACTTCGCAATGTCATCGATCAGCGGCTTTAACGCTTCTAGCGTGGAATCGAGATCTCCGAGGAGCTCTCTAAACATCATAGTCTTGTCCTTGACATCCTTAACAGCATCATACAGCAGAGTAAACACTGGTCCCAGAGCAACACCTGCAATAATCTCCCCAACTCCTACCATTGCAGCTTCTCTCAAACAAAACCCGACACCGGAAAATCCGAAAACTAACTAGTAATAATTGCAATCAAAACTTAAAGACAAGAGAAGAACATAGCAGTATGAAAAACCCAAATAAAAATGCTCATTATATGAGGAAGAAACCGATTCTGAGTCAATAGGAGGCTAAGAATTTCTTACCAAGCAAATTGCAAAAGCTGCTTTCTGGGAAACTTCGAAACTAAGATATTTTGCATTGACTGACCAAGAAGAAGCTTCCGCTAACCAATATATCACACCTACCACACTCATGGCTTTCGACAAGAGCGTAATTACAATGCAATGATCCGAAGATAACTAAATAAGATAATAATTTAAAATTTTCTAGACCGCAACGCAAACAGTACCATTTTCCATCCCTTTTTGAAAAGTGTTGTGTTCCCTCGCAATCAGTCGCAAGTTGGAACCTTTTAATTGTGTTTTCTTTCTCCGGTCACCGCTCACTTCCAACTCAGCAACCACTACTACGGTGTTTCTTTTCTCAGAAGTAACAAGAGGAAGTTTTTACCCAAAAAGTAACTTTAACTCCGACCATATAGGCAATTTTACTGATCTACCCTTTTAAATTTATTTTCTATATTTTTTGTACCACCACACTAATAGGAAAATTGGAATTTCGTATTTTTTTGTTGTAAAAAAATCAACATTCTAAACACTCTTGTTTAAAAGAGCAAAACTCAAAATATTCATCTCTAAGAGATGTTATAAAAGAGTCTCTATCATAACAAAATGAACGATCACTCTTTAAATTTATAGTGCAACTATTCACTTGCTAAATGTTAAAAAGAAAAGAAAAAAAAAACATTGGAGGGTAGACCATTGAGCAAGGAGAAAATGAAGAGGGAATATTGTTTTATAAAATGAGTGAGCTGAGTTTGAATTTTTAATAATAAAATGTTTAAAATTTGTTAAAATAGAGTGTTGTTGGAAATGAAAGATAAAGTTGAGTAGCTAAAATAATATTTTTATATCGTTCACTTGCTAGTTTAAAAAAAAATTAGAGTTTCTCTTGGAGAGATGCTCTAACTGGATCCAAAAGTCTTTGAGCCGCAAAAGTTTTAGCCCATATTATGCACTTGAGCCTATACATTTTTGTCGTCTTGCAATCCTTAGAGCAGTTCCACCCCTAAGAGCAATTCCACTCCAAAAGACTTTGCGCCAACACATTTATCCACTCAATGAACAGTGATAGACCCTAATGAATAGTAATAGGTCAAGAGCATCTCCACCCCTAAAAAAAAATAGCCTAATCAATTTTATTAAAATATTATTATTATTTATTATAAAATAATAATTGTATTAAAAAAAAAAAAAGATAAGTCACCTTTCCACTAACCCTCTGTACTCTTCCTCTACATCCCCAATCAGTTCTCTCTCTCTCTCTCTCTATTTTCTCTCCCTCTCTCTCTTTTCCAGCTCACTCTCGTGAGCTCTCCTTCTCCTTCCTCTTCAAAACCTTCAACAAATCAAACACAAAATATTATTTTTGTAATCCCTGGAGCTCAAGGAACCCAACCATGGCCTTGCATGCGGCATCGGTGCATGGTGCGAGGTCCTACCATTGAAGTCGAGAGCTTGAGCTCTCAATCTCTAACCCAAGTGATGTTTCTATCACTGTATTGTGTTCTTGAGCTTTAAATCCTGTTGTGTTGCAATTTTTGTGGTTAATTCGAGGGCTTAATTCCTTGCATGTGATTCCGACAAAGGAAAACGGACAAACTCCTACGAGTTCAAGGTCCAATTCTCGGTGAAATCTCTTGCATTTCACCTGGGTAAGCTCTCAATCCTATTCTTATGGTTTCTAACTTATAAATCGTGTTGGAAACCTTTGCTTTGATGCAAACATGTTGTCGGTGCATTTTTTTTTTTCTTCAGATTTTCCGACGAACTCGACCTCCACAACAAGTCCTTCTCTGGCGCAAAAAAAAATAAAAATAAAAGTGACTAATGTCAGCCTGCATCAAGTAGGTCGTCCCATAGGTATGTCGATTATGGGCCAGTCTCTTGCCTGGCTTAGGCTGGGTGTCGGCCTATCCGCTAGGCTGGAGTGCAAAGCCTGGGTGTCGGGCCATTTTTTTGGCTGGGTGCCGGCCTATCGGTTCCCCAGTGGAACTGCTCTTAGAGTAGGTCGAAAATGAGGTCTATCTTAGATCTCAACAGTTCATTCATGAAAAAACATGTTCATGAGAGAATTTCCGCTAATATTTGTGCTCTAAAAGAAGGTTGAGTACTACTTTTACTCATTAACTCCTGGAAAATAATTCATAAACCTACCACTAGTCATCATGATCAACGTAAAGGAAATCAAAATACATCCAAGACGGGTTTGAACATGGACGTCTTTGCTTTCGCCTCCTTGAAGATGTCGTAGATCACACTGAAAACTGTTCCCCCACTACCAGCAGATCAGACAATATAACTTTGAAAATGTGAGAAAAATTGATTAAAAAAGATTAGCAATAACAGATTCTAAATTATCCAAGGCCAAATTCACATATGATGTGCTTCGTGACAACGTAATATAAAATTGTAAGCACGTTCTTGGTTTTGAATTACGGATCAACTTCAATAATCATGCTGCCAAATGAAGAATTAAAAATCAATAAAAAGAGACTATTGACTGGACTCGATTTATTTTTTCGGTTGAAAAGATGATATATAATGGATTATGTTAATCGAACTACATTACATATATGGTATGGTTTTAAAATTATAGTAGTAGTTTTACTCTCTAAACCAGCACAAGACAGTAAAAAAGAACTAAGACATCTGGATTAGCCATCAATTATAAAATAGACTACTTTCTTCCTGCACAGAGTAATTAGAAAGATTTAATTTCCGATAAAACAGTAGTACCAGTCAATCCCCAATTTCCGAATTTTATTAAATAATAAAAGAATAGAAGTGAGAGGAAAAATTAAAAATCAATAAAAAGAGACCATTGACTTGACTATATTTATTTTTTTGGTTAGATGGATGATAATAAAAAAGTGAGACATTCTTAAATTTGCAACCCAAAATAAAGAGATTCTAAAAACAAGCAATACAAAGTTCGATTTTCTCTTACGTTATTGGTGATCAAGCAAGATAAAGAATAACATAAGGCTATTACTACTATTAGTTTGGTTATAAGCAAACATCATGCACAAGTTGTTTACTAATTAGTATTACTACTATTAGCTTGTATCATGACTGTTTTCTTTCTGTTATTCATACACCCAAGACATTGTAAGAAATAATGTTGATTATTCAAAACAAATCAACAACTAGTTGCACAGAGTCACAGTCAGTGATACTCCCATATTGATAAAGAAACAAAATAAAAAGGAAGTCGACTTCCAAAATAAAATAAAATGTATATAAATATAGAAAATTGTTATTAGCACTCCAAAAATCTTCGATGAGCTCTTTAAACATCATAGTCTTGCCCTTGACATCCTTAACAACATTATACAGCAGAGTAAACAATGTTCCTACAACAGCCCTTGCAAAAAGCCCATCCTTAACAACATCAGGGGGCGTTTGTTTGCCCTCACTAACTCGGACTGGACTAGACTGGACTAGCTATTAGTCCAATACTGTGTTTGTTCCATACTGGGATTAACATTAATGAGACTAAAGGGGACTAGTATGGACAAAACCCTTCACTAAGAGGTCTTAGTGAGACCCCCCAATAACCATGGGACTAGCTAAGACTATCCTCTATTTCTCGTCCTTGTCATGTTCAACGACCACTCCCAACAGACTCCTCGTCTTCGCCGGTCACCTAGATCAATCATTAACTTCCCGACTCTCTTTCAGATCCATTTCACAACCAACTTTCATATAAAATATACCAAATTGAAGCTGGGAGTGACAAGATTACGATTTTACTTGAATCGAGGCCAAAATGTGGTCGAATGTGGCCGGAAAATGGCCTGGAAGTCTCGGCCTGTTTGGGCTTCTTCAAATCCATGACAAATTCGAGCATGCAAAGCTAAGATCTCGGTCCAGTCGGTGATGAATTTTTTGGCGGTGCTAACTTCATCCAATTTAATGAGGGTTGGCCAAAAAACACATTGGGAAACCTGCAACTCGTCGGGAAAATTGGAGCTGTGAGGTTCCGTTCAAACAACGCATAGCTAGAGAGGGAGGGAGGATAGAGAAATAGAGACTGGAATCAATAAGGAGTTTGATCAGGAATGAGAAAGAGACATGAATTGAGAGGTCTGAGAGGAAAAAAAGAGGGAGAGGGTGAGACGATGAGAGAAGAGGAAAAGAGTGGGACGGAAATGGTAGGAAAAGATGGAGAAAAAGATAAGATCATAATAAAATATTAATAATTTATATATTAAATAAAATAATATTAGAATTTGTTATTATACAGCTTCTTAGTCCAATACTGCACCAAACGCTTCACTAAGTTAGTCCAGTTTAGTCTAGTCTAAGCCAGTCCAGCTTAGTCCTTGAAGCTAATCCAGTCCGAGATAGTCCGGCGCAACAAACGCCCCCTCATAGTCTTGTCCAATTTTACGGACCGCAACGCAAAACTGTTGGTGTGCATGGGGGATTTCTTCTTTTTATTTCTTTGTGGACAAGGAATCCGCTTACCAGAAACCTGTTTTCCATCTTTTTTCTGAAAACTGTTGTGTTCACTCGCAATCAGCCGCAAGTTGGAACCTTTTAATTGCATTCCCTCTCTCCGGTCACCGCTCACTTCCAACTCAACAACCACGACGGTGGTGGTACTTTTCTCAGAAAGAACTAGTAACAGTAACAAGAGGAAGATTTTACCCAAAAAGGTAACTTTAACTCCTAACATGTAGGCAATTTACTAATCTACCCTTTTAAACTTAGGGGTGTATTCAATTAGGAATTTCGTGTTTTTAGCCGTAAAAAATCACAACTTTATTTTAAAAGAGCAAACTCAAAAATTGATTCATTCTATCAAAACTTTATTTTTGTTGTAAAAGTTGTATGGTGTATGCCAAATCCCACATGCATTTGGAAAAAGGTGAAAATGATAGTAATATATTTATTATTATGTAATATTGTCAAAAGTAATCATCGAATCATTTTTGGATGTTCTAATAGGAGTAACTCTATTAATAGAGTGATCCATGTGTTATCAAAACACACTACGAAAGAAAGAATCAAATAAATAATATCAGTATATCTCCCTCCCTCTCTTTATCTGCCATCTCTTGTGTTATAGATAATAAAGTTATAGTGTGATATTTTGCACCTGCTTTACTCCTGTCTTTAGCAAAGGTTATTTCTCTAACTTTTGCCTATTTATAACATGTTATCAGTACGACTCTCTAACCATTTCTCATTTCCCTTCGCTGAAAGAAAAAAAATGTTTCCTCCTAGGATTTTACTGTTCTTCTTCTTCCTTTGCCTCACCTATTGGATATACCCTCGTGAAGAACTGTTTGCACCATGTCTGCTTCTTGTTCTCAATTTAACAATTACTTATATATTTGATTTCTTGTTTGGTGTAGTTCGTGATTACTAACCCAGTATTTATTTATGTTAATTTTACTGCGATCAAAGATGGTGCGGTATCATCACCCATCTTGAACTGCAGATTTAATTTTACTGCAATTTTAGGTGGTGCGGTATAATCGTCCACTCTGCATATTTAAATTTGCTTGCTATTTAATTTTACTACAATTTTAGGTAGTGCGGTATAATCATCCACCCTGCATATTTAAATTTTCCTGCAGTTTGAGTGGTGCGAAATAATCGCCCATCCTATGCTTACTTCAATAAGAATGGTGCGGTACAATCGTCTTTCTCATCAATCATGTAAATCTCAAGCCTTAAGTTTCGAGTGCTTATCATTTTGGATTGAATATCAAAATGAAAAATTTGTAAGAACTAGAAGTTCTAACACTATATTCCTCCAGGAATACATATTATTGCAAGTTCTTACACATCTCTCTTTTACAAAAGAAAATGACTAACTTGGCAAAACTTGATTTTGTTGCCTTGGACATTGCTAGGAAGAACTACCTTACCTGGGTAGTGGATACCAAGATCCATCTGGAGGCAGGAAATCTTAGAGAAATCATTAAGGAGGAAAACTATACATCATCTCAAGATCAGGCGAATATCATGATCTTTATTCGTCGCCACCTTGATGAAAGACTAAAGAGCGAGTACCTAACGGTTGAAGATCCATTAGCTCTCTAGAAGGCATTGAGAAATAGATACAATCACCAGAAAACAATGATTATTCCAAGAGCTCGTTATGAGTGGACTCACCTAAGGATCAATATTTTAAGTTAGTGGTTGAGTACAATTCTACGATGTTCAGAATTAGCTCACAGATGAAGCTCTGTAGGGAAACCATTAATGAGGAAGATATGCTGGAAAAGACTTTCAACACCTGTCATGCCTCCAACGTGCTCCTGCATCAGCAGTATAGAGAGCATTGCTTCACTGAATACAACCAGTTGATATCTGTGCTCTTAGTAGCTAAACAAAACAATGAGCTCCTCATAAAGAATCATCAGTCCCGACCGACTGGATCGGCACCATTCCCAGAAGTGAATGATGCTTCCCTTGAAGGGAATACCACATCCTATTGTGGCAATAATTACAAACAAGGACGTGGCTCCAAGCGAGGCCAATCAAATGGGAAAGGCAAGAACCATGGTGTCCAATTTCACAAACAGGTTCTAAGGCATAATTTATGCCCGAGCTTTAAGAATGCAAATCGCCACAAAGGAAAAGCTTATATGAACAACGTTCTTAGAAACTCTGAAGGAGCTTTCTATAGGTGTGGTGGCAATGGGCACTGGGCGCGTACCTGTTGTACCCCAAAACATTTGGTGGATCTATATTAAGCCTCCCTTAAGGAGAGAGGTGTCAAGATCAATTTCCTTGACTAAGCTAGACCAATGGATATACCTGATCCAGTGCTCAACTTATTAAGGCAGTTGAACACAAACCACCTAGATGCTTCAGAATTCATTATGGAAAGAGGGAATGAAGTGTATCGGTCCGATTGAATCATTTATGTTTGATGTATTTTTTATTCTGAACTTGTAGTTTAAAACTCGCATTTCAATTCAATAAAAGTGGCATTTCAATTTCCTTTTATGAATAAGTTGTTTTTAACTGTGAGCCCCTTTACTCAGAAAACATGGATAAAAACTGTGGTTATTCTCAAAACATGAGAAATAGTGGAGATATTTGTCTTGCAGACAGTGCAACCACGCATACAATACTTCATGATCGAAAGTATTTCTCAAGTTTAATGCTTACAAAAGTAAGGGTAACAACAATATCAAGCCAATTAGACGCAATTGAAGGCTGAAGGAAAGCCCAGATTATGTTACCAAATGGAACAATATTGTCCATACAAAATGCGTTGTATGCTACTCGATCTACTCGAAATTTGTTGAGTTTAAAAAACATACGTTTAAATGGATACCACATTGAAACGAAAAATGCAGAAAATGTGGAGTATCTATGCATTACCTCTAATGATACCCAGAAACATATATTGGAGAAGTTGCATGGTTTGTCGAGTGGATTACATTATACATACATAAAGACAGTTGAATCACATACTGTCATGAACCAGAAGTTCATTGATTCAAAAGTTTACATGCTTTAGCATGACCGTTCGAGCCATCCAGGATCCACCATGATGCGTAGGATCATTACCAACTATAATGGACATCCATTATTCAATAGACACATTGTTATCTCAAATGATACCTTTGCAAGGCTTGTTCTTAAGGGAAGTTGGTAATTAAACCATCACAACTAAAGGTTGATGCTGAATCCCCATCAGTTTTGCAAAGAATTCAAGGGGATATTTGTGGGCTTATTTAACCATCTTGTGGACGATTTCGATATTTTATGGTTTTGGTTGATGCATCTACCAGATGGTCACATGTTTGTCTCTTGTCTACTCGAAATGTAGCTTTTGTGAGACTTTTTGCTCAGATAATTAAGTTGCAAGCACAGTTCCCAGATTACCCCCATTAAGTCAATCTGACTTGATAACGCTGGTGAATTTACATTCCAAACCTTTGATGATTACTGCATGACATTGGGCATTGATGTTGAACACCCTATTCCTCATGTCCATACTCAAAATGATTTAGCAGAAGTATTGATCAAGCGGCTTCAGTTAATAGCTCGCATTCTGCTTATGAAAATAAAATTGCCAGTTTCTGCATGGGGACATGTCATCTTACATGTTGCATCATTGGTTCGATTGAGACCTATAGGCAACCACCAATACTCATTAGTACAACTTATGTTTGGGTATCAGCCAAACATTTCACATTTACGAGTTTTTTGTTGTGTTGCTTATGTGCCTATTGCACCGCCACAACGCACTAAAATGGGACATCAGCGCAGACTGGGAATTTATGTGGGTTTTGATTCACCATCTATCATTAGATATTTGGAACCCTTAACAGGTGATATATTTACAGCTTATTTTGCGGATTGTCATTTTGATGAAACAGTCTTCCCGTCATTAAGGGGAGAAAATACCGTTCCAGAAGGACGGTAAGAGTTGACATGGGCTGTTCCCACCTTATCTCATTTTGATCCACGAAGCACTCAATATGAAAATGAAGTGAAAGGATCGTTCACTTTCAAAGTATTGCTAATCAAATGTCATATGCATTTAGTTTCAAAAGTGAGAAAGTCACATATTCCAGCTGCAAATGCACTTATAAAAATGGATGTCCCTATTGGAAAAAATAAAGTGGCAGCAAATGAATCATCTGGTGCACGCCTGAAGCTTGGTAGACCCCTAGGTTCAAGAGATTTAGCCCCTCGAAAGAGAAAGACGAGAGCACAGCTGAATCCAAATGAAATCATTCAAGAAAAGAAAAGGAATGATAAATCCCCAATTCATGATTCTGAAAAGGAAAATGTCCTTGATGAGACACATGTCCCTGAAGAGACAGAAGTGCATGAAAGCAAATAAATCTCCATAAATTATGCATGTACTAACGAATTGTGGGATCAAAATGAAATAATCATCGACAATATGTTCACATTCTCACTAGCCAGTGAAATCATATTAAACAATGATATTGAGCCCCGCTCTGTTGATGAATGCAAACAGAGAAAAAATTAACCTAAATGGAAAGATACAATCTAGGCAGAATTAAATTCCTTAGAAAGACGAAGTGTTTTTGGATCGATAGTCCAAACCCCGCCTGATGTGAATCCTGTGGGTTACAAATGGGTATTCACAAGAAAGCACAATGAGAAAAACGAGATTGCAAGATATAAAGCACGACTTGTTGCACAAGGTCTTTCACAAAGACCTGGAATTGATTATGAGGAGATGTACTTTCCTGTAATGGACGCAATTACGTTCCGTTACTTGATAAGTTTAGTGATTTCAAAAAAACTTGACATGTGACTTATGGATGTCATCACCGCGTATCTATATGGAGAATTAGATACTAACATATATATGAAAGTCCGAGAAGGACTTAAGTTGCCTGAAACGACTAATAAACCACAAGTATACTTTCAATCAAATTAAGGCAATCATTATGTGGGCTGAAACAATCCGGACGAATGTGGTATAATCGTCTCAGTGAGTATTTGATCAAAGAAGGATATATCAACAATGTCATTTGCCATTATGTGTTCATTAAGAAATCCAATTTTGGATTTGCTATAGTGGCAGTATATGTCGATGATATGAACCTAGTTGGAACTTTTGAAGAGCTCAATAAAACTGTTGAATATCTGAAAAGCGAATTTGAAATGAAAGACCTTGGGAAAGCAAAATATTGTCTCAGCCTACAGATCGAGCATTGTGCTAGTGGAATTTTGGTCCACCAATCAGCTTATATTGAAAAAATCCTGAAGCGATTTGGAATGGACAAGGCTTATCCACTTAGCACGCCAATGGTCGTTCATTCTTCGGACATTAAGAAAGATCCATTTCGTCCAAAAGAAGATGATGAAATGGTCCTTGGTCCAGAAGTACCATATCTGAGTGCAATAGGTGTTTTATTATATTTAGCACAGGTACTCGACCATATATAGCTTTTTCAGTTAACCTGTTAGCAAGGTATAGTTTTACTCTAACAATTCGTCATTGGAAAGGAATAAAAGATGTTTTGCGATACCTTCGTGGGACAACAAACATGAGTCTCTTCTACTCAGAAAAATCCACAAATGACCAGATCTTTACTGGATATGCAGATGCTGGTTTCCTCTCTAATCCTCATAAAGCCGTCTCACAAACTGGATATGTGTTCACTAATGGAGATACAACAATCTCATGGTGCTCAACAAAGCAAACACTAGATGCTACATCTTCCAATCACTCGGAAATACTTGCCTTACATGAAGCAAGTCGTGAATGTTCTTGGTTAAGATCAATGATCCATCATATTTGGAATTCATGTGGTTTAACTTCAAAGACAGACACTCCAACTGTCATCCATGAAGATAATGCAGCCTGTGTTGCCTAAATGAAGGGAGGATTCATCAAGGGCGATAAGACTAAACACATATCTCTAAGGTTTTCCAGTGCACATGAGCTTCATAAGGCTAAAGTTATTGATATCAGACAAATCCGTTCCAATGAAAATTTGGCAGACTTGTTCACCAAATCTTTACCAAAGTGTACATTTCAGAAGTTAGTACAGGGAATCAGATTACGTCGGCTTACCAATCAACTAAATTTGAAGAATGCAAAATCATGGGGAGATATAATTCAGGGGGAGCATCCATGATACATGCATGTTGTACTCTTTTTTCTTCGATCAGGATTTTTCCCACTGGGTTTTTCCTATCAAAGTTTTAACGAGGCAACATAAGCTTACATAACACTATATCAATAATCCAGGTAAAGTTGTACTCTTTTTCCTTCGTTATGGATTTTTCCCACTGAGTTTTTTTCCAAGCAAAGTTTTAACGAGGCAACTAATGTTGATATGTGGGCATCCAAGGGGGTGTGTTGTAAAAGTTGTATGGTGTATGCCCACATTCCACATGCATTAGTATACCTACATCCCACATGCATTTGGAAAAAGGTGAAAACAATAGTAATATATTTGTTGTTAAGTAATATTGTCAAAAGTAGCCATCATATCATTTTTGAATGTTCTCATGGGAGTAGCTCTATAAATAGAGTGATCCATGTGTTATCAAAACACACTGCAAAAGAAAGAATCAAATAAATAATATCAGTATATCTCCTTCCCTCTCTTTCTCTGCCATCCTTTGTGTTATAGCTACTAAAATTATAGCATGATATTTTGCACCCGCTATGCTCCTGTTTTTAGCAAAGGTTATTTCTCTAACTTTTACCTATTTATAACAATTTTAAAGAGACCATTGACTTACTCTATTTGTTTTTTTGTTGGAAGGATGACAATGGATAGGCGAGTCAAACTATACTTCATATAAAGTTTGGTCGTTAGATTACAATAGTAGCTTTATTCTCTAAAATAAGCACAAGACAATAAAAAAGAACCAAGACTTCGGGATTAGTCATCAACTATAAAATAGGCTACTTCCTTCGCACTTAGAGCAATTAGAAAGAGCTAATTCCCAGACAGAACAACAATTCTCAATCCCTTATCTCCAAATTTTATTAAACAATAAAAAAGAATACTCAAGAATACAGGTGTGAGGAAGAACTAAAAATAAATAAAAAGAGTTGGTGTGATGATAACAGATCAAGCGAGTAGAACTACACATAAAGTTGGTCATCGGATTACAATAGTAGCTTTACTCTCTACACCAACACAAGACAGTAAAAAAGAACCAAGACTTCAGATTAGCCATCAACTATAAAGTAGGTTACTTCCTTTCTGTTCAGAACGATTAGAAAGAGATCATT